AATGGAGGGGACAGGGGAGGGGTGCGGATTCTTTTGTTCTCCGAAAATACCCTATTTAAGTACAATGTCTCAACAATTTTGTCGCCGATTGTCTGAATCTCAAAAGTGGCCGTACGTCCTTTAGAAAGGTAATTGAATTCATTTCTTTATGCTGGGATGTAAGACCCCTGGTGGCTTTTTATTTGTTGTGTTCGACTTCATCATACCTATTTTAGAACAATTAGAATAAGGCGATTTCGTTATTTTCAGTGCGTGACATTTCGTGTCACGCTTAACCGTGCCTTGACATCTTGCAATGTGGCGCGTCGCTCACGATTTCTTATTCTCTCCTTTATCGAAACGCATCGAAAAAAAGAACAAAGTGAAAAGGATAGGAAACTTAATAGATTTCTAGCCATTAAAGTAGTTATAATGGCTAAAATTGCTCTTTAGGAGGAATTTCCACGAGTAACCACGAGTAACCACGATGAGTATAAAAGAAAAATAATTTAATTATCTTTTAAGAACAAAGTTGGTTACTCGTGGTTACTCGTGGCCAGTCCCCTCCTGACTTGATAGTTTCTACTGTAAAGTACATTCTTCAAAGACCCTTATGGGTATATGGGCAACGAATCTGCTGCACAGATTTAGAGATGCTATGCAGCTTTGCTGTGCGTTAGAAGTTGGAACATTTTTCCTGAAAATTCTCCTGCGCATAGCAATCATGGCTATTTTATCGTCCATCCCACCCTTATCAAATAGCCAAACTTTGAATAAACACTTCGAATTTACTAGGGATATATTCAGATACAATATATTACCTGCCATTGATTCCTACCGATCACCTTAGTTACCAGAGGAAAATCAATCATTCGGTACGTGGGTATGCTGCGTAATAACTTGAAAACTCTACCGAGTACAAAGATTGTCAAAACTAATTTTCCCTCGAAAAACACAGGTAAGGGATTATATGGTTATCTTATCTATCTTCTGAAAAACGACCCGGTGTATATAGTAATCTCAACTAGTTACCGTCTCCTAACCGGTGCTAATAAGACAACAGTGCGTAGATTTCGATTCAGACAATCGGCGACAAAATGAGTTGAGACACTTCGCCTAAAACTGGGCTTTTTCACGTTTTATTAACTTCAAAGGGAGGAATTTTAGCTTTCCTCCCCCATCCCCTCCGTGCAATGTTGTGCCCTTGTTCTAGCTACCCTGTAGAAAACAACAAAAACCCCAACTTTGAATGGAGGGGACAGGGGAGGGGTGCGGATTCTTTTGTTCTCCGAAATTACCCTATTTAAGTACAATGTCTCAACAATTTTGTCGCCGATTGTAGCTAAGCTGATATTTAAATAAGCTTAGCTGTTTATACGCAGAATTCAGATTCACGGCCGAAGAAAAGAGAAATCATGCAGGTAATTTACTTTCTCTTCGCACTTGAAAAGTTTCAATGTTTGTTCGAACTGATTAGTGTGTCTTTTCACTTGTGTAACCTTTGTTGCGAGTTTTTGTATCGCATTTGCTGAATGAAAATGATGTAAACATCTTCGAGACAATCGAAACTCGGCATTTCAATACTTCAAACTACATCAGATAAGTAGTCGGAGAAGTCCATCTTCCAAATCTACTAAATGAGCTATTACTGTTTCTGTCTATTTCTTTAATATCTGACATAAGCATTCATGGGCGAAAAAATAAAACCTAAACCAAAACTTTGTTCACTAATTTCACCCGACGTAATTGCTTCCTTCAAGTATGGAAGAATTTGCTCATTGTTCTAAAGATAAGATCACATGCAAAACTGACTTGCGTTTTTGTGAACTGTGATGAAAACAAGAAAATCTTTGCGTCTTGTTTCCCTCTCCGTCTCTGTCGTAGTCTACTGTCTGTAGTGCAATCTTAACGTTCTATATTTGCACGACTCAACCCAGTGCCACAAACAATGGACAACGCTCATCCAGTCGTAGTTCGTAGTCCGTAGTCTCCGTATCTTAAACTCCCTAATGGAAGATTACAACGGAACAACCTTGGACGATGGCTTTATTTCGCCTACACGACTCGTGGTTCCTAATCCTATAGTCAGGCGTTACAATGCCCTACCGAGAGGGAGTCTGGGTCCTAATACACAACAGTTGCATGGTTTACACACCCCCAGATTTGTTGGCAAGAATTTGTAAAGTAAACCTGTCCAACGCAAAAAAATTCGGCCTGATTTGCTTTCCAAGAATTTGTTTTCGCGGCCTACTCTACTGTGATCAAGAGCCATTATGGCTCTTGAATGTGATCGAAGATGTTTGCTATTTCTTGGGTGTACATGATTAATAAGGCTATCAACTCGATGTCAAATGTTTCACTCTAAAATAACTTAGTAGCGTTTCCCTCAAAAGTCACATGAATGTGCCCTTAAGTTAACTGATTTGTGGGTTACAAGTTTATTGTTTGATTTAAATTATAAATTTATTAATGGGAGCTTCGCTTTTAGCCCTGGCTAAATCTATATATTATTTAACTCAGAAACGGTTGTAAGAGGTGCAAAAGGTGTAGCTGTTTTTCCATTAAAACGCTATAACCCAAGACTTGGAGCAGATACAATATCATCATTTTAGTTTACATTAATGTACATTGCTTTTGATCATATCAAATTTGCATGGCATAAACGGTTAATCAACTACATAGAGTTTCGGCCAGTTGAGTTGATGCCCAAAATGTGGTTTTCCTTTCCTTGAATTTCTCCAAATAAAGTGAATCAATCCCAGAGCTAAACCTAGTAGGCAGTTTACAAAGATATTCTAGTTACTAAGGGGTTGCTTACGTGAAAAAACTCTCACCGGCGCGAGTTTCATACCGGGACGACTTTTATAATTCGTATCGCGTTTACATTATGACTAGGTCATTTCATATCTCGTTATTTGAAGGTACACTTCATGTTGATAAAATACAGGTAAGACTCAAAATCACAAACATTACGCATGCGCTACCCGTTCGGCAGACCGATTGCACACCGAAACGTGCGGTCATTTTGCGTTTACATGACACCGTTGCGAGATCTTGTACCGGAGTGAAGTTCTCTCCCCGGTACAATAACCGAGGTGAACTCACGCCGGGATGACTCGCGCCGGCATGACATTTTGTGGTGGTATCATGTAAACAAATGTAGAGCCATGAGAGGGAACCGGAGTGAACTCACTCCGGCGCGAAAGTCGCCCGGTGTCATTTAAACAGCCCTGAAGTCTGTAAAAATCTCTGCGGGGCGGGCTCTTCTGTTTCCAAGGGCAATTGACGAACAAACCCCAATTTTCAGTTTTTGTATATTTCATCGCAGTTGACAATCTATCTACTCGCCAACAAAATTTCTAAACCACTAAAACTATCTTCAGCAATTATCAAAGGATATTACGCACTGAGTCATTTTCTGGTCAAAAAAATTATTGCTGGCTTTCAGTGTTTTAAACAATATCGATCAAAATAAGGCTTACTTTACGGTTTTCACTTCACCGCTTGTAGCGTAACATTTATGTATCGGTCAAATCGAAGCTTCAACATCCCCCCCCCC